GGGTTGTTAGGATCACAACTGCAGGTGATTCAGATAACCAGGCTAGAAAAAATTAAGCTACGTTTGTGTTATATCACAATGAGCCAGTTTGCTGTTATTTTGTAGTAGAAATAATTGATTCACTTACCTTATCACTGCAAAAGCAGAAAGAATTTGGCATATATATGAAGATATTTGAAGGCATCTTGAAATGTATTGATCTTAATACATGTTACTGATGAAGGAACTTGCAATGAACCAAGCCCTGAGGGAACATGTTGCCTGGGAGGTGGGTTTTTATCCTATTTGCCAGGCAGAAGATACTAACAAGTTCACTAGTTATTCTTTTTTATCTTGTAAAGTTAAATTTCCAGCTTAAAGAAATGGTTGGAAAAAGGAGCCCTAAGACAGAGAGATCACATCTGGGCAGAAACTTTGTGTCTTAGAGAGCTCCAGGTCACATTCATCCCTGGCATACCTAATTTCAGTGGATGCAAAGCACAACAGATTTTAGCTGCTCTGTTTTTTCGGGGAAGGTTTTATGTTTTAGATCCCTAAAAGCAAGGGCATTTTTTTAACACAGGGACAAGCGCATTGTTAGCCTGATTCAAGTGTTCTCTTTATTTTAATACATTCTGACAGACATCAGCAACCGTGTAATGACAAGAAAGTAGAGAGACTAACAGTTAAAGGAACTAGGTGACCAGAGGGGATCCATGAGAGCCCCTCAAGCCTTGTTTCTCTGGGCTGCCTGTTCAAATGCAGCCACACTTCTCCTGTTTATGTGAAAGGATGCTTAGAGGGCTTTTTGAACCCCCTGGCAATTTACCCTGCTACCAAAAAACACAACCACAAACCCTCCATTATGATTAAGCAGCTGCCTTGGAAGAGAAATCATGCTTTTGTGGTTAAGATACGCAAACATGATGTTCCTTCTAATTCACCAAATTAATTGAAAAGTTGCATTTCCAAGTGGATTAGCTCCCTTTTATGGGCAGTGGTATTTGGAAAAGGTCATAATTTGCTTCAACCTTTCTCTCTTTTTTGTGAGTTCCCATTTCCATACAGGGAATAACTTTGGATGGACTAATCTACTCAGAAATGAAACTACGTTAATCTAACTGCTTCCACATCAACCAGTCTTTGGAAAGAAGCAGGAAGGCCATTGGTCCCACAGATAATTCATTGCCTGGAACAAAAAGGGCTTGCATAAGTTTTGCCAAATTGTGTCCCTCACAGGGCAGGATAGTGGGCTGTGCATCCTTATTTTCTCTCTTTGACACTAGTGTAATTGCATGCTCCAGTGTGCAAGAGCAGATTGGAGTGGCTTTTCTTAACTAGTGGTTGCAGCTTCAAAAAGGTATCCATGGGGATGGCCACATGGATTCATGGAGCAGCCCCTGACAATAGTCTCCAAGTGAGGAATTGGAGGATCCTGGCCACAGGATTAGAAAGGTGAATTCAAGAGACTAATAGTGTTTAAGAGCACAGTTTGTGCTGTGACTGTTTCAGTTCTCAAGGAAGCTGAATGGGGTGGGTAAGTCAGCAGGCAGAAAGTCAGTAACTCAGTGCAAAGGTCTTCAGTAGAAGTCTCTCCCACTGTTAACCATTGTCTTATAAAATTATTACCTTGTACCTCAAAAGTGAGAACTGCAAAGGCTAATGAGCTAATTCTCTGGGCCCACTACCTCCATCCCACGCTGCCACACCAGGAAGCCAAGTGTCCTTCGCTAGGTTCTTCACTGGAGGTGGGAAGTCCCCAGCGTACACCCACCACACAGGGAATCCTGTTCCTTTAGCAATGTTTGCAGCAGGCATCACATCAAGAGCACCTTCCTGGTATTTCCAGCTCTTGCACTGGACATGGCACTGCCAGTTTGAGGAAATCACCTGCAGGGAGCCTTTTGGCTCAAATCGCTGTCACATTGAAGCTGTGCTTGCCCTTGGCTAGGAATTTCATTTAGGTTTTCCAAAGATCCACATCTCCTTCTTATAAGAAAGAAAATATCAAGTAAGTGTCTGCCTTGTGGTACCAGGAGAGCAGGACTGTAGTAAAACTGTGTGGGAGAGCACCGAGGGTGTCATTTAATATATAGACACCTCAAAGAACTGTATTGGTGGATTCTCCTTTGACTTACCGTAACAGACACATGTTTGAAGTACTTAGATGTTGTAAGAAATCTTCCCAGCACAGTTGTAAATAGCGGCTCCAAGTCACAGACACACAGACCATATTTGTAGCATTAAATGTAATTCGTATTTTGGTATGGGAGTGTGTCCCTCCCTACAGATTCTTGGGGCTAAAGCCAAGCAGATACCCAATGAGTGAAATTAAATCAAAAACTTTTCACTTGTGTGCTATGAAGTAAAAACAAAGAAGAACCCAGAGATATGATAGTCCTGGATAGGCACAGGTTAACAGGAGGTAAAACTGAGACCCATGTCAGACATACTTTGAAGTGAGTCTTCAAAGATAATTACTTGTAATCAATTATCAGCATAGAATGACTGTGTCCATCCCACAGCACTGTTTTTAACACAAAGTCAAGCAGAAGCATGAGAGCAACGCTATTCTAAAGCCACATACATCTTTATTCTCCACCCAGGCCAGCAAGGGTGGGAAAAGGGAATGCAATTAAAAATAACAATCAGCAAACATACATTATCTTTACTTAAAAAAAACATCCAGACTAGAGCAGCCAGAAAGACACTCAACAATCAGACTAACTGGAGTTCCCTGCAGTTTGACAGTGGCACATAAGCAGAAATTACTTCTGAATTTCTGAAAGCAAAGGTAGAACAAGACAAAAACTTGTGCTTTTTTTCAATTACAACAAGTGATTATGATTATATATTTTGCAGCAGGCAAACCACTCCGGGAGATAACAGGCAAGAGAGAAAGCTATCTAGAGTTGTTTTGAGAAAAGTTTAAATAAAACATTTACAAATAGCACCATAACTAACCCCAAGCTTAAACTAGCCCCCACCAAAATCAGTGACAGAACACCCTGACTTTGGCAGGAGCAGAGGCAAGCTTGGTTAAGTGTAAAGAGGTTGAAAACACATGATGGATTGTTACAGTATATCCCCCAAAAGGTGGCCTCCAAACCCAGAAGCACAGCTGCCATGGCAGAGGGAGGGTAATATGACTTCTCTGATGCTCCTTTGTGTCTACATGGCAGTAAGAGGCACAGATTTGGTTTTGTCCTACTCTGGCAGGCTGTTTGCAATCCTGAAAGCAAATCCTGCAGCTCAGCAGACATTTCACATGGCTGTATTCTGTAATGAGCTAGTATTTATCATTCAAGCCCTCCGTAAGTGAAGGCTCTTTGTGCTGCTGACCCCAGCCTTTCGTCTAGCCTTGAACAGCTGCTCTTTGGCAGTGACAGCTGAATTGGGTTTTCCCCCACTGCAGCAATGCACACTTGCCAGCCATCCTTTCCTGAACCTGCTTGTTTGCCGGATATTGGGACCAAGATACACAATCCTCTCCTCTCATCCCAGCAGTTTCCCTCTAGGAAAAGCATGAGAACACTTGCCAGCGGGCCTCCCTTCCCACTAACGCTTATTAAGCATCACTTCTTCCCACCCTCCAGCCATGTGGGAGCCTGCAGTTTCCATCTGGAGGAGTATTAAGCAGAATGGCTGCACTGGGTCACTACAGACTGCCAGCCCTGGCATGACGTATCCTCAGCTTCGCTAGTAATTCAGAGGCATATCAAGCTCCCTGATTGAAACAGCCCCGTGAAAAGCATTTCACTGCTTGAACTGGTCCCAGGCACAGGTCAGCCCCTTTGAACCCCACCGAATTACCTGCCTTTGCCTCACAGATTGGGGTCTTTTTTTTTTTTATTCCCCCTGGAAGCTGGTCATTGTCTTTAAAGACTTAGCCAGTAAAAACTGGAAGCTGTGTGTCAGGAAGCAGCAAACGCCTGGCTGTACCTGTAAGTGTGGGGCCAAGCCCACTCTTGATATTTCAAGTTAATCCTTGGGCTAGTGCGAAGAGGCTGCTTTGGCTGGACCTCCCAGAAGGGGATGGACCAAGGATTCAGCAGGGACTTTACTTATTTCTCAGTGTAAGGCCTAGAGCATCAGATGGGCTTGTTTATACAGCACAGGTTCCCAGACATCCTAACCAGGACAGCCAGTCTGTGCAGTCTTGACCCTATCCTTGAAATGCAACACAAAGCATTAGTTCCTGTGAAATCCAGCATCTGAATGCTTCTCTTTACCATCCTAAAACTAGAGCAGCTCCCCTCTGGTAGGGAGACTGGGGGAGTGAAACACCTGTACAGACATGAGTGACTGTGCAGCCTGACTGACTGCTCACTATGGATTATCTACCTACACACATGCAAATGGTGGGCTCCTCTGGGCTGGGGCTGAGCCAGACTTTCCAGCAGCACGAGCTGAACTAGAGCACTCAGAAAATTAATCATGTTTCAGACATGTAATTCAGTCCCCATTAGAGTCCGTTATACCTCTCTCTTACTTTCCGTGTATCCCCCCTTAGGCCAAAACCCCAACAGGCAATCCAGAAAAAGAAATTTTCTGCAAGTCATTTTTTTAATTTCTCCAGACCGTGGTGGCTACCTCAGCCTGGTCTGGAAGCCCACTAAGATGACATGCAAAGTCCCGAAAGGACGGAAACCAATTATGAAAATGAGACATGAGGACAGGAGGATGTATAATCCGTTGCTCTTCTATATAATTAACCAGGAAGTGTGTGTGGGATGCAGATTTCCAGAGCTGAGGCACTAATGGAGTTTGCACTGGCACTAAGAGACATGGGCTCAGGGATGCCCCCATTCTGAAAGAGAAGGTCCAGCAGCTCTTTCATAAGAGAAACTTGAAAAACAGAATGACCATTTCAGTGAGACCTTTCCATCCCAGGCACCTTCCACTCCACTTCCCTAGATACAGGTGCCACCAGTCCACATGTGCATCGCTTCTTCTCACTGGGTCAACAGGTCACTGTTATGCCCCATTCCCTAAAAGTAAAGTCTAACTTTACAGACTTTTCAGCATATACCTCTGCCACCCCACAAACAGCCCAAGCCTCACAGACCTGGATTTTCTCACCAGTCCCAGAAGTTGTAATTAGCTAAAACAGATGACAAATCCTTGGAGAGCCATGCACCTCCCCATGCAGACCACGTGAAGCTAGTACACTTGCATTCTGTAACATTTATAGAGTATTCCTAGCCCAATATTTTATTTAAGTTTGTGTTTAAATAGAGATATATATAAATCAGTGTGTTATTTTCTACATCAAAACCACTCACATATGACCAAAATAGTGAGCCAGGACAAGGGCTCAGACTGCCGAGGTCTCAACCCCCTGCGCAGAGCTCTTGCCAGAGAGACTACCTGAGATATTGTCAGAATCTAGCAGCTCGACAATGCTGTATGGAGAACAATCTTCCAAACCCAGCTTGCTGCAGAGCCAGCCACAGAAGCCCTTCTCCATATCTCTGACAGCATGCCACCAGTACCCAAAGGACCATGCTACCTGGGCCACAGCCGAGTACAGGCCTAGGGAAAAAGACACAACCATAATTATTATTGGGTAGAAGATGATCAAAAAGGGACAAAAGGTAATTTTGTGCCAAAAGGTCCTCTCTTCATTGTACACCAAGAAGATGTTGTACCATGTAATGGTTCCATAGTAGAATGAAACCACGAAGGACACTACAAAAATGATGGGGAGGCAGATGACAGTCCAGAGAACAATGTGGGGTCCTCTGTCCAGTCCAACATCACATTTCTTCTTCTTCTCAGGTATGTCCTCTTTAGGAGGTTCCTTTGACTTAGCCAGTTCCTGCAGCTCTTTGTCTGTTAGTGTGACATGGATGTCCACCATCTGACCCTTCTTCTTTCCCCTGGTGATTGTTCCAGTCAGGGTGACATATCGGCTATCTAAAGGCATGTTCCAGACACCTACAAACACAGATAAACTCATCTACATTAGATTTATTTTCTGTACAGAGTATTTTGTGTAAATCCCCAAAGACCCCAAAGACGATTTGATAGTTTATATGGAGTTCTAGTTAAATTAAAAAAGATGGAACGTAAAAAGCAGTTCAGTATGAAGAAGATTATCATAGAAGAAAATGGAAGAAGAGCTAATGAGGGGGAAGACAGGAATTCCAGATGGCAGAAATGACAAGGGAGAAGACTCCAGCACCTCCACTGGGGTCAATATGCGAAGGGAAATTGTTGCAGGAGTACATGAGAAAGAGATGAGACAGAGTAACTGAATAAAAAACAGTACGCCTATTTTCTCTGGTACCCTCATAGATTTATTCCTGAACAGCATGGACACTTGGGGTGAATTAGATAAATACGACTAAGACTCTTGTTCCGGAATAAGCACGTCCACACATGGTGTTATACTTGAATAACTAATATTTCACTTTATATTTGCACTGTATCTCAATCCAAATTAATTTTCAAAGTTTAGAAAATCCTTACAAACCCTCATATAATTATATTTGCACTTTAAGGGATCAACAAAGGCACCAAACAGGAAAGTGTTGGGATGTTTGTTAAGGTCACAGACAGACTGCCTTAGCTTCCAAGTGACATTGGTTTAGGATGGTCCCTGCAGTGGTACTGGCCATAAACTCTTCTATGGGGCTAAAAGATGCTTCCTCCTGGTCTTGATTCTGACTAGCTTGGAAGGAAGTCTTCAGAGGCTTTTAAAAGGAGACTGAGCAGTTTGAAGTGGCCCACAAAAACAGGAAGGCAGCAGATAAGCCATGAGGATAAGGCTTAGGATCATGAGGGAATCTGATGTGGCTGATGGACCAGAAGCATGCATTCACATTCACATTTAAGCCCCTCTCAGCCTGCACTGTGGACTCACAAGAGGATTAGCCGTAGGACCTCCCTCCCTCACTTCTTCCCTGCAAGGGTGTCCAGACAGACATCAGACATGAAAGTGGCTCCAAGATGCCCCACGATAACCTTGCTAAATAACCACTTTTAAAGAAGAAGCTGGGCAGATAATATGCAAACAGAAGGCGACAGCACATCCTAGATAATCAGTAAAACTCCCTATCACAGGTAGAGCCACTAAATCCATTTGCTTCCATCCTTTCACTTAACAGGCAGTTGTTTTAGGCATGGACAGGGCCTTGATCATGAGCATGCTGAGCATGCTTTAAGCATCATTGCCTCAGCATTTTTCTGGATCAACCCCAACCAGCACATACATTTAAAACGAAGAGTATGGCAACAACCAACTTCTGCAAAGAACTGCAGGAGACACCCCAAATCAACCTGTGTTTCAGAGTATTTTCACATATGAACTCAAGTTCTCCTTGCCTGTACTCTTAGAGAGGCTTGGTCCCACAGTCACTTCCATTTGACCTTAGTGCATGCTGGCATCAAAAAAAGTTTATGGAAAGGAATACATACCATCTGCCATGGACTGACCCAGGAACTTGGAGCCTTCCTCAGAGTTCCTCTCCCCTCCTTCTTCATCTGCCTGTTCTTCTTCCACCTTATTCTCATTATCTGACCTATACACTATTATTGACTCAGGACGGGACTCTTTCTTCTTCTTTTTCCTCCGGTCCATAGTGGCTTCTCCATCAAAGGTGACAGTGGTTGCCACAGCCCTTCTCAGAGAGCTGCAGCGAGGGCTCTGGCTTCCAGTCTTGCTCTCTTTCTGCACGCTCTCCTCCATCCCACTGCTTGTCTCAAGCACCTCACTTGGCATCTTGTACCACTTGTTTCCAATCTAACAGCTCCTGCACTTAGAAGTCATTGATTAGACACCAGTCCCATGGATGCTTTGTTTTGGTAAGGTGTCTCACTGCTGACATCCAAACTATGCACTCCATTCCCAGCCTAAAATGAGAGAGAAGGCTGAAAAAGTGTCTTTTTCTTAAAAGCAGAAAAAATTGCCAGAATATTCCTGTGAAGGGTTACTTCCAACTGGTTTAAATGTCATCTGAAGATTCTTATTACTATCTTGAACATAAATTTTATTACATGCAAACACATTTTGTAATATCACCTAATCCTGATTCTCAGGTTCCAGTTTTAAATATAACAAACCAAAGCTACTGGAAAAGGAAAGAGTATTAATATTTATAAGAGGAGATTAAACAAGCACAGTTTACTGGGTGATTTCAACGTTCCTCTGCAATGCTGGAAGCAAACAGAAGACAACAGTTTTGTCCCACATGCATGAGAATGAAGAAATAAAACCATAGAAGAAAAAGAAGTTGCCTGATTTAAGGGACTGGCCTAGATTAGAGACAACCACAGTAGGAACATTGCGCTCGCCCTGCATTACACCACTTATATTGCTGCCAGCCTTTCTCACTTTGAATGTCTTCTGATTTACTGCCCATTGCAAGGATATTACAAAACATAATCAAATGATGTCAAAATGAATCATGTTTCAAACTTCACCAATTTAGCATTATGTAGTGCTGTCAAACCTAAAAAATATAGTATATACAGTAGATTTAAAGCAAAATTACTGTTAAGATTACTTCACTGGGGATGGAATTGGAAACTACAGCAAAGTCTTCTGATTGTGCAGGGAAAACAACCCAAATCTTTGTAACAAATACAAAGGCTCAGTTTTCTACTCATTCAAAGCAAAATTAACAGCAATATCAAGTGTCACTGTTATCTGCAGGAAAACCGCCTAAGTAAAAAACATATAATTAAACATGCACTGAGGCAAACAAATCCTGCTCCATGAGTGTGGAAGACACAGGATTAATGGTTCTCAGATTTCATAACATTTAAGAAAATGACTGTGCCAAGTATTCATGAAGTATTTAGGTACAAATCTGAATGCACTGAGTAATGTTTTAACAACTCTGAAGAGCTCTGTTGAACATTTACATGAACATTTATATTTAAAAGAATGTACATGGCCAATAATTAAGCTTCTACCTACTATCTGAGTCGTGTCTTAAACAGGAAACTAAGAAACACAGCTATCATAATTTATAGCCCACACAATGCTGGGGAAATTGTTTTACTTTAACAGATGCTAGAAAAAATTTGAGCGTTTTTAGATTTGGCAGTATGGTTCTGGTCTTCCCACAAATATAAGATTTTGCTGTTTTGTTTTGAAATTTGTTGCAGAACTTTAGATCAACTATTTATTCTTCATACACTCACACACACACAAAAAAAAACCCAACCAACTTTTAATTGTATCACTTTAACACCTAAGACTGTGGCCAGTTGGCTCTATGTGGCTTTAAAGAAATCAACAATTCAGATTATTTTTTGCATGCAAGTAAATAAATCTTCCTTGGTAATCAGAAGACACATAAAATTGAATTTAAAAAATCAAGATTCAGCATACCCCAGAAGTCAGACTACCACTAAATCACTGGGCAGGGAATATCTTGGCCAGCTCTGCAGCATGGCTGGGAACAGACTGTTTGCCATCTAAGCTTACACCTGCCATGCAAAACCTGCAGCATGGCTGGGAACAGACTGTTTAGATTGCCATCTAAGCTTACACCTGCCATGCAAAAATCTATGCCTAGATTTGCAGACATACTGGAAAACAGCTCTATAAAATACTAAATTTACTGCAAATACTCTCCCTCACTGCAGCATCAAGCGTTGCACTTTAGAACTACCTCGAAGCAACTTGGTTTAAATATTCTGTTGATCAAGGGAAGCAAGAACAAAGAGGAGCACTGATGATGAATGCCCTGGTCTGGTGGACCAGATAAGCATGAGTCAGTGTGGTGGTTGTTCGAGATCACTGCCTATGCATTCTCCTTCCAAAGTCCAACCTCAACAGAGAATGGAGCAAAAACAAGAAGGTAATTTTTCCCAGAGACCTTTGGGTCTCTGAGAAAAGTATCTATCATCTCCATGCCCCAAAAAACCCCATAAATGATCTAATGAGAAGCAATTGCTCAATACAGTTCTTATACCTCGTCTGCCTGAGGAACGTAGCCTTTACATCTTTCTGGAAGCAGCATGCAGATAAGCAGTTTTCTACATACCATAATATAAAAGAGGAATGGGATATGCAAGAAACCTCCCAGTGAAATTTAATGCTTTGCTTTCCACTTTCCCCTGTTAACTCCAAAGCAAACCATCCACTGACTTCAAAGGCAGCAAGCCTGGCTCTTAACGCGTTAACGTTGGCAGGACTCCAAGATCTCTTCACATCCATTGGAATACACATAAATTTTCATTCAATGTTTTTTAAAAATGCCTTTATTAGGAAATTGAATAAATTTATTCTATGGAATAAATTCACTCTTTGTAGTAAATTCATCCAGGAGGTAAAATAGGGTCTAACATTTTTCTCTGAGGATCAACAATAAAACTTCATATTTTGCATGTATGAAATCCTAAAATAACCTGATTGAACCTAATGAGTCCCTGAGACAACAGTGAGATTCTCCTCCCAGAGGTGGTGAAAAGAAAGGAGGCCTGGAGCCACAGAGAAGCTAAAAGCATCACTGCTGGGATGATCTACCAAAGGTCTGGATACACAGAAGATGATTTAGATTAGATTCCCAAAGTTCCTGGCTGTAGTTCCATGCTCAGTCCCTACTGCCTTGAAAAGGGGGCAACTTGCCAGTAACATTTAAAAATAATACAAAGCTACAGGCAAAGATTAGTGGTTGGGCTTTTTTTTCGTAAAGTTTATCCAGCTGTGACCTTGGTTAAACTCACTGTAGATGATAAACTAATGTCAGTCTCAGTGTGATGCCAAAGCCTAAAGGACTACATCAACCTTGACTATATGAGGAAAAGAAAGATGATGTCACTTTTTAATTTATCACAGATAGGTACTGGAAATATGTGTCCAGTTCTTGGGCTCATGGTCTGGCGGGATGCTGATCAATGATCAGAAGATGCCTATGACCCCCAAGTTATTTTGCTATGTCTGATGTTCCCACACCTGGTACAGTAGCAGTCGCCACTGCCAGTCACCACCAGGACTAGAAAGAAACACCTCAACAACAGGGCTACCAAGGGTGGCGCCCCAGTTTCTTCTTTTGCTCCTGAGCTGAGAAGAGAGGAGGGAATGGGCAGTGGGGGACAAGTCCCTAAGAAGCACCATTGCTGTGGCTGGGTCAGAGCCCTTGGGATAAGGAAGTGAAGGAGCTCAGATTATTCTCCTGAAGGCACAAGGAGGTAAAATCTGATGTCAGTCTGTCTATATCAGAAACAAAAATATGGTGAAGATCGCTCTGATCCAGCAGAGGAGGATGCAGTAAGATAAAAAGCTAAAAGATAGAAATACAGGGCAGACGTTAGGTAGGTGTTTAAACAAAGTGGGTAGGTGTCATTTGATATACATCGTGGAGGACTGTGGAGAGTTGTCCCATCACTGGAAATTTCCAAATCTGGACTGGTATGTTGACAGTGGTTTGGTCACCAGTACTTGACCAGAAAAGGTGTTTAAGTGGGCTTGTATTAGGGGGCAGTCAGACTGAAAGATCACAAAGACCTCTCCTGATCTTAAGCCTGTTTTCACAGTAGATGTTTATTCTTTTCTCATCTGTGTCTGCCAATGGAGCACCTGGGATACCCTCTGCTGCCTGGTCCAGACCTTCTGAACACAGCACTTCGAAACACCACCATCAGCCTCACATCCCACAGGGATGCTGGTGAATCAAACAGGTTTATGCCCTGGTCCCTTTTTTCCTGGGAATATTTTCCCTGTAGTTGCGAACAAAAAATGGGCTCTTGCAGATATCACAGTAGTTTACACAAAGCTTATTTTTTCTGTTTTCCTTTTCTTTATGTTCTTTCAGAACAAGGTCCCAGCACTACACAGCTGTCCACAGCACCAACTCTTTCAGCCACACACTGAGATCTTCACCCCTTAACAGCCTTGCTGTGGAGCCGAAGCATGACAATCACTGTGTATCTAATATCAGTGCTGTCTCCCACACGGGAGCACAGGGGCAGACAGGAATCTAATAACTGTCCATGGGAGTGAAGGAAAAGCAATGGTCAAATTTCAGAGATAGCAGGGAGCAGTTTATTACCAAACAATTTGTTATTAATCTCCGTGTGAAAACAGATGGAGAACCCTGGGGAGGCGGCTCTGCAAAAACCTCCGTAGAGGAATTTTTAGAAGCACAGTCTTCTGTTACTATGCAGGAAAGCTACTGCTGCTTATGCTTTCCATGACAGTATTAGTCTTTGACACACAAAACAGGAGCCTAGAAGGTTGGCCTTGCACCGTTTAGGTCAAAGGAAGTTTTTTCCCTTGGTTTTCAGGGCTTGATCCTGCTGCTAACAGAAGAGAAATTATCCAGTTTGAATGCAGACAGGAAGGAAAAGCCTTCCCACAAGCTAATAAAATCCTTGATCTTAAATCTCTGCTACAGCACAAGTAACCTCTTTACAACTGCTCAGAGCAGACACGAGAGGAAAAAATGTAGACAGTAAGCAGTGAGGAGCATCAATTTTTATTTTTATAGTCACATAAAATGTATGACACACAAGAAGAACTGGCACTGTCTTCACTCACATCATGCAGGGGTTATCTGCAGAAACAAAAAACAACCTGTGCTTTAGAGGAACTGTGAGTTACCCAGGATGGGGAAGTGATCAGGAAAAATTTACCCCAGAGACACACCTTGAGAGAGAGCTCCCCAGCCACAGATCCTCCTTTGCCTGCTCCTTTTACTCCATAGCCTCCCCATCCCCAATCCCTTCTCCACTCAGCCCCGTCTCTGATTTTGTGCATGAGCATGTGTG